TTGCATGGTGTGCTAAAAACGATAGTCGCTGCAATAGATTAGCACTTCAAATCAGTCTCATCCTCATACCCTCGCTCTCACAGATGAAATAGATCAGGTTCATTAATTCATCATTTGCCAATTGGATTACGGAGAAGCGAATGTATAAGGAGAAAGCAGAGGTCATGACCTTGTGACCATTATTATAATGCGTAGTCCATCAATAGAGATGGAGGCACTGTTATAGGCGAGAGCATGAAGGGTCGGAGGTCATTGATCTAGGGCATTCCTGTCGAAAGGTCGTATTGATTTGACAAAATCCATAAAAACACCAAAATTTACACAGACATGCACAACGGCATCGATTCCAGGGTTCCTCCAATACGGTGCAACAGTGTATTGAGTTCGATGAAATGGAGACCTGCATAATCTCAGACACTATGTTAAGACTGTGCTTAAAGTTCCCCTATAGTCAATCGTTTTATTCCTTAAAGCTCTCCCTTGATCACCAAAATGACATTTAAACGTTTTTTTCATGGCTTAAATTCCGCTCGACTGTAACTCGACACCCTTGCCTCATTTAGTATACGTGGTACTATGAATATGCAAATGAGCCCCACCCCCACACAGTAACTCAGCTCAGAGATCCACTGGTTGACTATCACATGTTGATCAGGGGTGCGTTTCCCGAAAGCATCGTTCGCCAACTATGGTCGCAAGTTCCGTCGTCACCAATAGAGTTCAATGGAAATTGCGACCAACTTGTGATCATAGTTGGCTAATGATGCTTTCGGGAAACGCACCCCTGATTGGTTACAAGGTAGTTGTTCTAATTAGTTCTAATTAGACCAATCTACCATGTTATGTAACTGACTTAAAGTTATTTAAAAGTTACGTTTTAATGTTACGACTTAAAGTTACGTTTTAATGCAAAACGTTAAATGACTAACTTTTAGTCTAAGCTGTTTATGCCACCCGACACTGTTTTTGCAAATCCACAGCAATAAAATGGGAATTTTGATGTGGCAAACAACGGTTAGTTCACCTAAAATGAAAATCCTGTCATCATTTACTCAGCCTCTTGTCATTCCAAACACACAAGACTTTCGTTAATCTTTGGAAACACAAATAAAGACATTGTTAATGGAGTCTGAGAGATTACTGTCCCGCCATTCAAAGTCTATTCAAAACCTTTTGCTACCGTATATCTAATCATGAAGACTGCAGGAAGCCTCATACATGTATACTTTTATTATTGTGTGTGTTTGTGTGTCATCTTGACACACCACTTTATGTCATTTGATCTTGTTATTTGACGACTTTCGAATCGGATAATTTCTAGAAAACAGCAAAACCTGCCAAATCATAATGACATGATGACTTTTAGTATGCATGTATTAAGGATGGACATTATCACTACAATTGCATATGATATGTGCAATTTTGTCTCATGCTAACTGTCAAAAAATATAATATATATATATATATATATATTTATTTTTTTTTTTTTTTTTTTTTGGGAAAATCCAGTGAATTTAAGCAATGTTCAATTTGTTAAAATGTATGAGATTAAAATAAACGATTTTTTGATGATATATAAACTGATTATTGTGTTTTTAGAACACATTCAGTGTTTTATTACATAAATCTGATGAGTTTTAACGACGTGTGTGACTGATGATTTTTCATCACATTAAGTTATTATTAGTTTAATAAAAGTGTGCAATCCAAATGAATGGAAGTTTTGTATGCAATTCATATACATAAATCTTTTGGAGTTTTGGAGTTAAACTTTAAGTTCAATTTGAATGCAATTGCACACCAAACATATTCACATCCGATCAGTACAAAAAGTATTTGTGAAGTAAGCTAAAGGCAACAGTGATTGTGTAATGGGAGAGCTTCATGTCTTGTATGTTTGTCCACCAGTTATCAGGTGTGATTAAACAGATCAGATATCGCATCCAACACAAAGAGTTTCCAAAAGAAAACTTCAATATCTTTGCGTGGCATGTGAGTTGATTAGAAAGATTTCCTCCTCACAGCACATTTTCCCTTTCATTGCTCTCCGCCGAAGACGAGCTCCACTGCACATTGATTAACCTTCGCCCAATGAAGAGACGATTCAGGACACCCGGTGGCTCTCGATGCATTTCCATCAAGCTTTGTCATCTCATTCTAGAGGCACGCTAAATCATTTCCATGTGAACAAAGAAGTGCAAATAAATATTTATGAAGCCTTTAAGTTGAAGAGCACAGGGGAAAGTCTACCCGGTTACATAACACACATTTGCCCGCTATCAGCACTCTCGCTGTTGTCATTGTTGTACATCTGAATGCGGTTTTGCATTTTGATGAAAGCAGAGGTGTGCCGGCATTATCTGATATTAGAGGTGACTTTGTTGAGAAGAATATAGATGAACAGGTGCTGGATGCTCTTAAAAAAGTGTTGCAGGTCCATCATTATTTGCACTCATCTTCATGTTGTTGCTTATTATCATCATTTTTATTTTTATTTTTTATGGAACATAAAAGGAAGAAAATGCATGCAGCTCTTTTCCATGCAACAACAGATGACTGATGCAATATGTAAGGTGCATGAGTCACAAAGACTTAAAAAAGAAAAAAAAAGAAGGATTTTTGGATGAACCATCCCTTTAATATGCAGTGCTGCTCTTTCAAGCAATCTATTTAATAAGGTTTTACGGTAGAACATTTTGGTATTTAAACGTGATGCTCCATCTTTCTAAATATGCTCATATTTCTTAAGAAAATGCACGGGAAGGATTTCCACACTCTCATGTCGCACGGTGTTCGGTGGCATATTCATCTGTACGCTTTGAAATGTGCCTTCAAGGAAAACGTAAATATCTGTAGCAATGAATCTGATTTCGACTCGCTTTCGAGACATCCATCTGGCCTCTGCACTCCGTCATGCTTTCATATTGAAACGTATTTGATTGCATGCAGTGTTTGCTCAGAGGACAGATCTCATCTGAACAGCTCTTGAGTCGAGTGATTTAACTGGTGGGTCACACACTGTCCGTGTCACCCAACAAATGTGCAATGTCAGTATCACCTGCAAACACAGAGGATAGCTGTGGATAATGTTTATATTAACACAAATAGCTGTGCGATAATATACATTTGAACATATCCTTTCATGCACTGTAAAAAATGATTGTGATTTTACAGTAAAAGACTGTAAAAATGCTACAGTGAAAAACTGTTAATTGGTTAACAGAACCTTTCCTTACTATAAATAACTTTGATAGATCTTATGGTAAATTTCATGTAATTTTACTGTAAAATACTGTTAAATGAACAACTCATCGTATAATTTGCAGTGAAAAAAAACGTAAATTGACATTCCCACAATTCCCTGCGTGACACTCCACACTTGATGTATTTTTGCTGAAATAACTTGTTTCTTCATAGTTTGCTTAGTCTTTTTTCTAATCAGTTAGGTACAATAGGGTTTTATGTGACATTTAATATTGTTAAATTAATGTTTATTGCCTTTTTAAAATTTCATGTGTGTTACCATGATGGTGTTTAATGTTTGAGTGAATGAGACTGTGCCGCTTCTATATATTAATATTAAGTTTATTGTGAAAGATCTACATGTGATGAGCTTGCATTCATCATGTGACACTCGTCACTGCTGTGATTGATGGATGTCAGTCAGTATATAACAATTGTATAAAACCGATATTAACACTTCAAATGGTCGATAATTTAACAGTATATCAGATAATTGAATACAGTTTATTTCCGTAAATTTTAAGTTAAGCCTGTAAAACCTTATACCGTAAATTCTTGCCACCGTATTTTATACGGTAAATTTCTAGCAACCGCACAGCTGCCGGTATTTTACCGTAAATTGAACACATTTTTTTTTTTTACAGTGTATATATTTCACATTTTCATATTTATTTGCATGCATAGTACACTCATGTTGACGGCTTGATTGCTTATATAATGTAAAAATGTGAACTATATTATCTGCTAAATGCAACTTTAAGGAATGCAAATATAAACACTGGAAAAAATAATCCCGTAAAAAAACGGTAAACTACTGGCAGCTGTGGTTACCAGCATCATACTGTAAAATTACGGTGTGTTACTGTTTTTGAAACTAAATACCGTATTGTCAGCTACAGTATTAAATTTTACTTTAACAGATATATGCTCTAACACAAAAACAGTAACACAGTTACGGTATGGTGAAAAAGACGTCCTATTAAGTATATTAAAAATGCATTACATTATATTTGTATTGTACTAAAAACATATTTAAATACATTTTAATACACTTAATTGTATGTCTTTTTCACCTGGGTGATGCTGGCATCCACAGCTTTTTTACAGGATTATTTTTTAACTGCTTTGAAACAATAAGCATTGCGGGATTGACTTGATTGTCACATTTGATACTGTAAGTGGACTGATGACGACAAACTAAATTAGTAAGGACATTTGCTGCGTGTAAACCCTCAGATGGCCAAACCAAACACATTCCTCTATAAATCTCAGGCCTTAAACAGCTTGTTGTTAAAGTCCAGCTGTCAAACACTCGCTCAAAATACTGACTGTGTTTTAATTTGGCCTAGAATTGATCCTCGGATTAAATAAGACACAGGTAACAATATGCTATGAAATTATTAAAGTAAAGGAGCATAGACCGACGGTGATAATATCTAAATATGTGAACGTATTCTGACACACATCCGATGTTTGATCAGGGACAGGTTCAGTATTGAGAATGCTTGGATGGTTGGTTGTTAATGCAAGCATTGCTCATGAATGAGTTGTTCACTAAACCCAGGGCTTTAATAGGAGTCTCTCTGTCACTACCAGTGGCAGCTGGGAACAATAGCTCATTGTTGACGCCCAGGTCTATTTCGGATTTCTTCCTTTTATAGTGTGTTATAGGACCTGCCCGTCTGGCTGATTTCTCCTCCCTGGGGTCAAATGATATAAAAGCTTTAACTGACAATCTGCCCTGAGCTGCTCCCTGCCATCCATTCTGCTGTTTCTGACTCCAGGAGACTCCTCACATCAGCAACATGGCTCCCAAGAAAGTCGAGCCCAAGAAGCCAGAACCCAAGAAGGCTGAGCCCAAGAAAGAAGCCGCCCCGGCTCCGACGGCCCCCAAACCGGCTCCTCCGCCAGAGCCCGAAGTTATCGTCGAACCCGCATTCGATCCCAAGTCCATCACGCTGGAGTACAGCGCGGACCAGATCGAAGAGTTCAAAGAGGCGTTCCAGCTGTTCGACCGCACGCCGAAAGGTGAAATGAAGATTACGTACGCCCAGTGCGGGGACGTGATGCGAGCCCTGGGCCAGAACCCGACCAACGCAGATGTGCTGAAGGTCCTGGGAAAGCCCAGACCGGAGGAAATGAACGCCAAGCTGGTGGACTTCGAGACCTTCTTGCCGATGCTGCAGCACATCTCCCGCTCCAAGGAGCAGGGCAACTTTGAGGATTTTGTGGAAGGACTTAGAGTTTTTGACAAGGAGGGCAACGGGACCATCATGGGGGCCGAGCTTCGGCACGTCCTGGCCACGCTGGGAGAGCGGATGACCGAGGACGAGGTGGATCGACTGATGGCCGGGCAAGAGGACGCCAACGGCTGCATCAATTATTCTTCATTTGTCAAACACATCCTGTCAGGTTGAACTGGATTGGACAGTGTGGGTAAAATAAGAAAACTATTTATCATTGCATTGCTCTGAAATGTGTCAATCACATTGTTTGAATAATAGCATTTAAAATGTCAAACAAACACTCTCTTTGCCTACAGGACTTTTTTTTGACTCATTTGAATATGATGGCATATGTCAACAATAAAAACAAACAGATTGGCATGGATTTTAATTTGTTTATTTGTATAAAGGCGGCACAATATTGTCTACGTTGCGCAATGGGGTTGGATGCAGTCCAGCTTAAAAAAAGGTGATTTATACTGTATTCCAAGTCTTCTGAAGCAATGGTTTCAATGCATCCTCATCATCATTCTCGCTTTTGCCAATGCGTAGACATCCAACGCACATAGCACCCTTTAGCGTCAATACACGCTTCGGTTATGGGTGCACTCTTAGAAGAAATGGTTCCATCCCCTGTTTCATATATGGAACTCCAAAATGGTTCTATATAGAACCATTTTTTTTTTGGTGAAAGGTTCTATTGGCAATGTATGGAACCCCAGGGTTCTATATAAAACCCAGAGGAACCCTTTTTTAAGAGTGTATAGAACCTTTTAGGGGTTCCAAATACGTAGCACTGATAGAACCTTTTAAGGTTCTATATAGAACCTTTTCTTCTAAGAGTGTAGGTTTAGGTCTGGGTTAGAGTTAGACCACTAGGAGGCGCCTTCTGGCCCATATATATCTGCGTCTCATATTGATGCTAAAGGGTGCCATGTGTGTCGGGTGTCTACGCATTGGCAAAAGCGTCAGTATATGACGTCTTGGGATGAGAAAGGGCTGATGGTTTTGTGTGAGGAATTATTGGAATTTAAAACGTTGCTGTAACTCTTCATTCTTGTTTACACAAATCAACACATGTCCGATCAAGATGCGCCACACTTGCTTTGATATCAAAGGCACACAAGAAAACTGTTTTTATATTTTTCCCCATGAAATGTATCATTCACATTGTTTGAATGGCATTTAAAATGTCAAACATGACACTGACGTTCTGCGTTTTCACAAACTCTCTATTCGCCTACAAGACTTTTTATTTCCTATTCATTCTGACTCATGTGAAAATATTTTGTAGATTTTGTCCAATGGCGTATGTGTTCAGTCACAAAACAATAAAACAAACCGGTTGGCATGGACTTTATTTTTTTATTTCATTGTGCAATGGGGTTGGATGCTGTCAAACAAGCTAATAAAAAGCTAATTTATACTGTATTACAAGTCTTCTGAAGCAATGGCTTTATGTGAGGAATAGGACATTGTAAATTCTCTTATTCTTGTTCACATATATTAACACAAGATGTGCCACACTGGCTTCAATGACACACACGAACCAATATTATTTGATCTAATAGACATGGCTAAATATAGTGTTTGAAAGGATATTGACCTAATTAATTATGTGTGAACTATTGCTTAAAGCTCCGATTTTAATGCATTTCAGTGGTTTCGTGGTAATGAGGTAACACCACATTTGTTTCCACTGCCCCTAACCACTCATTCTTCATTTTCAAAAAAAAAAATATCCCAGATCCCAGTCAAAGCTGGAAAATGCGTATTATACGAGTATAGCAAGAGCTAATTTGGATCCCAGGTCCCTAGAAAGGCTTTTCTAATAAAAATACAAAAAAATAAAATAAAAATAAAAAACAAATACCTACCAAAATTTATACCAGAAATGAGCTTAAAACTTTAACATCACATGCACTTTTTTACATTACTCTTTAATAAGATAGAATACAACTTTTGCGTAATCATATTACAGTTTTACATACTAAAATGATTACATTTCTAGTCTACAATTGGAGAAAAAAAAACGTACTCTGAGAACATTTAATTAACAATCACTTGCAAGTATTTTGTATTAAAATGAGTCAGTGCTATTAGTCCAATGACACATTCTTAATGAAGTTTTGATTCACTTCCATTATGAATCACATTTAGCTCTTGAAATGAAAGCATAACTCATGCAGCAATCCTGAGCTTTTGAATCGGTGACCTTTTCTCACACAGCCTGCAGAATCAGGGCTGCTTTTGAAGACATCTTGGGATTTCACTTTGATGAGGTATGGAGCTTCTCTCTCTATACGAAGGCCAGACACAAGGACTGTGTCCGTGCATCAATGGGAATGTAGGCTATGTAATCTCGGCTCAGGAGAGCCAGGTCTGCCAGCCGTGTGCTTAGGAAATGCAGCTATCTATGGGATGTAGGGAGAGAGAGCACTTGAAAGGGTGACCAGAAGCTCAGGAGAGGGACGGGGGGTGATCTTTAAACACTATCCTCCTGTCATCAGGGTGACAGCTGCCCTAGGTCTCCCGTCTGTGATTCCCGGGGTGTACCACTTGGCTCGGCCTCCATGGCAGACCATAAACATGAGTTTCACACCTCCAACACAAACACTGAGAGACGTCAGCGCTTCTCCAGGGCTCCTCGATGGGACACGCCACTCCTGCCATGTAGATCCAGGCCTGAAAGGGAGTCTGTCCAGGTTGTTCTGATTGGGTTTGTGAAACTTAGATGCAACAAGATGGGATGCAGACTGGCAGATAGTTGGATGTGAAGGTTTAAGACATGATATTTAATTTAAACAGCAAAACTTTTGCTGATAATTTACTCATTCTTTCTTCAGTCGATGAAAACATTCCAGGATTTTTCTCCATATAATGGACTTCGATGGGGTCCAAACGGTTCAAGATCCAAATGATAGTTTCAGTGCAAACAATTATTGTTGGTTTAACTTAAAAAAGTAAGTAACCTGGTTGCCTTAAAGTTTTAAGTTGATTGAACTGGAAAAAGTGAGTTAATACAATGAAGGAGAATAATTTAATCATCAGAAACTCAAAATAGTAAGTTATCTCAACTAAATAAATTATTATGAAGTTGATTTGACAAATAAAAATATGTTGTGATAACAAATCTTGAATATATATATATATATATATATATATATATATATATATATATATATATATATTACAGTGTATTACTATGGTAAGTACATGCAACACATGTAGGACACTGTAAAGTGAAGTGTTACAGGATTTCTGAAGTGTCTTTGGCACACCTCTCTCATTGTATGACATTTACGAGCCACGACCACATAAATCTTTCATCTGGGATAGCACAATGTGTACCGGGAATTAGAATAGTGGAGTAGCTCACTTTTTTTATTTTAAAGTTCCCACTTTTTTATGTAGAATACAAAACCAGTAATTTCAAGGAATCAAAGGATCATTCAGTTGACACAAATAAGGGGCATGAAAGTCGTTCTGTACCTGTAGGCCTTTTGAAATGAGACACTCTCAAAGATAAAAGGTGAAGAAGCTGTCACCCTTTCAAAAGCTACACCTTTGTACCTTATTTACCCCTGACAGGAGAAAATTAGTACCTCAAGTGTACGTAATAGTACATTTTGAAAGGGTACCACCCCAGTGAGAGCTTTTGTTCTTCTTTTACTGAGTGTTTTTTGTAAGGAATATAGGAGATAACTAATAATTTAGCTTTTTCATTTAAATGACAGGGAACGATATTTGTTCAGATCATATTCAAACGCATCTCGTAAAGTTTAGATTTGGAAGTGCAAATGAGATCTGAAAGCTAAGATGAAAGATGATCAGTGAACGGATTAAATATTAAAAGCGTAATCAGTCTCAGTAGTGAGAGTCCTAAACAGTTTGTGTTTTGAGCAAATCTGTTCACTGATGTAATATGACTTCATTAAAAAAAAAAAAAATAAATAAACACGGAGGTGTCTGGCTTAGGGGAAAAGTATGACATTAAATCGTGAATGTCTATTTTAAAGCCAAAAACAATGAAGAAATTTGAATATTGTCTAGTGCACGTTCATAATAAGTCAAATTTGTCTTGCTCTCGATGTTTACTCTACAGTAGCAAGGATGAAGTATGATATTTCTCAATAGAGCTTTATTGCCTCAAGATTTCCAGAATACGGTGGATGTTTCCATGGAAACTATCAGCAAGTAAGAGAACTTTATTTCCCATGTATCAACAGTAGAATTGCAGGTTTCTGAATTGACCTTCACAGTTGTGAAACTCAGTATTTCTAAGCTCAAAATTACTCTTTTTATATTATGAAATGCTGTCTACTTTTGATTTTTTATCTGCACTTAATTTATGCATCGCATTGACACTCAGCAATCACTCCAGCAACAGTGATACAAACCTGCAGTCAAAATGCATTATTTTATCAAAAGCATTGTTGAACCTATAGCCAGTCTTGCTCTGTGTCTCCAGGCGTAATGTTCTCCCTGGGGCTGGAGGATGACAGTGGCCTGTGATGATGTTATCTGGCTGTCCTGGTTCTCGGCTCAAAGTTACTGCGACTTACCAGCTTTCCTTGCACTTTTAAACAACTGGACCGTGGTGCAACTGTCCTGACAGCACTGCTGCTGAGGAAACAGTGTTGCTGATGAAATGTCATGGTCAGGATGGAGTGAGACATTGGTGTATGTGGAGAGGTTATGATTAATTTTGTATGTTTAACTCTTTTTTTTTTTGCATAAAAATGTGCAATTAAATTTGCGAACAAAACCCAAGCCGATAGTATTGCGAATAATAAAGATTTTTTTTCATAAACCAAAATTAGCAAGATAACAAAACAAACTAGAATGTAGGTACATTTCCAGAAGAAAATGTGAAATGTGAGTGGCAAAATTCGGCGCTCGGTTGCTAGGGTGTGGCATATGATTGCATACGAGACAACAGACACATCTGTATGATGTTCTGGTGCTGAGATATGACTTATTCATGTGTTCAAATGGTTACTAGGGTACTCTATATGGTTGCTATGGTGTGCTTATACAGTTTATTAGATGATATAGTTGAGAGTCTAAGTCAAAAAAGCCAAACTCCATGTTTGTAGTATTTTCTTGAGCTGAAATATGGCTTTGTAATGTAGTTTTATGGTTGCTAGGGTGCTCTGTGTGGTTGCTAGGGTGTTCTGGGTTGTTGCTTTGGTGTATCTAGGTGGTTGCTTTGGTGTTCTAGGTGGTTGCAAAGGTATTGTGGATGGTTGCTATGGTGTTACTAGGTGGTTGGTAGTTGGCACATAAGGTTACTATAGAGTTTTTATAGCGTTCTTAACATGTTCTTACCATGATCTTAGCATGACGACTGCAGAACAACTTAAAACTGAGTAAATTGATTCC